ATTAGGATACTTATCACAAAATACATTTTGACAGACATTCCTGGTTGCCCTCTGTTGAACATCTTTAAGGTTTTAAAATAAGATAGAGTCTAATGAGGATTCCATGCTTTATCCTAACATCCCTAGAATGTAGCTTGATAGTTACCCATCACTCCAGTTGATAAGAGCAGTTAATGAAAACTAAATGTAGAGATAAATTTGCTGGCAAAGGTTTTTGTGAATGTACTTGAATGAGAGTGATCCTGCAGTAGGGTACAAGGGTTCCGCTACTCCTTGTTAGGGATCTGAAATTACTTTTAAGCCTCTCACCAGCCCTAGACTTCACTGCGCAGGGTGTTGGGAAGGCAGGAGTCATGCCATCTCAAAAATACCTTAAACCCTCTGTTTTTCCCATGAGAAGGAACTCAGTGGAGGCTGGTGCCATTCCAAGTGGGGAGGAGAAGATGATCTGCCCAGGGCTGCTGTGGCAATGGTCAGTGACCACAGGGAACCCTGGGGATGTGAGTCAGGGCTGCAGAAGCTGCACTGAAACTATGAAGGAAACAAAAAAGGTCTCAGCTAATTTAATAGTAAGGGAGTACTTCTGGCATCCCCCTGGGCTGCATGCAGAGAGGATCTGTGCTTACATTAGGACCACCAAAACTTGTTTAGCTCAGTAGGAGCAGCTGGTTTTGTTTAGCCTGAAAGGTGCCACACTCAGCTCTGGAGCAAGACAAACATTGCCATGCCATTTTCACAACTTTTTAGGACATTAAGGGTCCAAGCATCCTTTAGAGAAAAATTTCTAGCCTGAAATATGGTAGGGGTTTATTCTGCATCCATCCATTCATCATTAGTGATTTTTACTGATGAACAGACAAGGAGTTAGGATTTTCAACCACATGCAAGTTCAGGTGTGCAATGTAGGTGGCAAAATCCATCATCCTGGGGTAAAAGGTAGATGATGTTGTTAATGAGTCCTCTGAGAGTACTTAGTTCTCATCCTCCTCCATTTCAGAGTCTATATCTACCAAAAGTCTTTGAGGCATCTAGTAAAAAAGAATGGAGTACACAAAAACAATTTAATAGTATCCATCAAAGCAAAGATTTTTGCTTGGCCCCTGTTTAAGATCAAATATCACATGCCCCAGCAAGTGATCTATATTTCATGTCATTTTTTAAGATGCTCAGATCTGGAGAGAATTAGCTGCCATCAGAATGGCCGAGGGCCCTTTTTGTCCCCTGGGAGAAGAGATATTGTGAAGTTTTCACTAGACATTAAAAAAAAAAAAATAAAAAGAGATAGATGCATAGACACAGCCTGGGAATCTGAAATTCAGGCTCCAGCCATACTAATGACCTTGCTAAAGACAGTTGTGTTGTAGCTCTTATGTTGTAGATCCTCTGGAGGATCATGGGTATAAAATTGAGTACAACCAGAAAGTGTTATTATTACTCTATTTTTTGAGTTAGCTTTTCTGTGTGTAAGATCGGAGGGTAGAAACATATATAGGTAAAATGTGTAAGGGATCTGTACTCTGAAACATGAAATTATTGTTATGAAATTAAAAATCACATCATGTAGACATATACCAGGAAGGACATGCTAATTAACAGCAGAAAGTACTTTCCTTTTTTTCATTAAATACTAGGCAGAATGAGGAATCTTTTTAAAAACATGCCTGGTATTCAGGCCTCATTTTTACAAGTCACTGTGGCTTTTTTTTTTTTTTTTTTGAAACCTTAGGCTTAGCCCAGAAGCTTGGCCATTCATAGAATCACAGAATGGTTTGGGTTGGAAGGGACCTTAAAGACCATCTAGTTCCAACCCCCCTGCCATGGGCAGGAACACCTTCCACTAGACCAGGTTGCTCCAAGCCTCATCCAGCCTGGCCTTTAAGACATCCAGGGATGGGGCATCCGCAGCTTCTCTGGGCAACATGTTCCAGTGCTTCCCAACCCTCTGCAGGAAGAATTTTTTCCTGATATCTAATCTAAATCTCCCCGCTTTCAATTTAAACCCGTTACCCCCTGTTCTGTTACCAGAGACCCTTGTAAAAAGTCATGTCTCCTTTTACCAAAGTGGTCCTGGAGAACAACAGAGAACTTGGGACAGTGAGTAAATCCCCTGAAGTGCCCATGAGGCACCAAGAAGTAGGGTTAGGTCCCTAGCTTGGAGGCCTCAAGGGAATGCTGAAATTGATGTTGGCAGCTGGGTCTTCATTTTCCCACTCTTCAGCCTCCACCTGTAAAATGGTATGAAAGACAATATTTTTTTCCATCTTTCTTCTGTCTTCCTTGCTGAGGAATTGTAACCATTGATGTGACAGCCCTGCCTAGAAAAGCAGGACCTTTATCTTACTTGGAGCATTTGGCAAATGTAGCATGTGAGCTGTAATAGAAAAGGGCCCCATTTTCCCAAATGCTGTAGTGGCAGGTTCAAGTTTGCATGCTATAAAAGCAGCAAAAGCAAAAACCCTGAGTAGATAGGAAGCAATGTGCCTTTAGAAGGAAGGAGACAGACAAAACGACCTCAAAGCAATTCAGCATCTGTGATTTCCTTGATTCCATCTGAAAGCTCGCTCTCTATTTTGCTGACATATGGGCTGGGCGCCCTGTTGTACATTAGCGTAACAAATAGCCGTTATCTTCTGTTTCATGGGAGATACGGCAGAACGTGATTTATTTGTGCCTGCTCTGTTGCTTCTTCTGAAATGTTGCCGTCGTTCGGTGCACCTTTCGCAGAGGAAGGCAGATGGTCATCGCAAAGTTTCCCATAACCTTGCTGTGTGTGCTGCATAGTGAATCAATGAAGTCTGAATTACAGTCCATTGTCTGAGTTTGGAGCTGTGCTGCTAAAGTATCCTGCACTAGCTGACAATGTTTGAATGTCAACACTGCATATATATTGAGGAAATATGACATTTCTCCCTAAAATTTCAAAGCAGTGCCAAAGGGGATTTTTAACTGGGAAGTTGCATCTGATGTCAGCAGGGACTGCATTGCTCAAACCTTAATCACCAGCTTGGAACTCTAGCTTTTGTGACTGTGTGTTTAGGTGTGACCCCCCCCTTACAAAAAAAAATAGGAATAATGAATCTAAACAGGATTCTAACATGAAGTGCCAGAGATGAGGATTTTTTGGAGTCCAAACAGAACCAGCTGCCCCTCTGTGCTAGCTCTCTCTGCTCACGACATTTGCAATGAGGCTTCAGGTGATTTGAGAAACTGGCATTAGACTGCAAATCACCTTTCATGTCAGCTTGTGCCAGGATACCTCGCCAGAAGCCACTATTTCAATGGGAAATAACAACTGGGAATAGGGAAAAAATGAACTTCTGGAAAGCACTTTGTCACGTTCCCTGGGCTGTGGCAGGCAAATGTCGAAAATAGTGTGAGCTCCTGCCATGAAAACAGGCTTACTCAGAAATTTCTCAGTGGGAGGATTACCTCCTTTACATACCAGAGACAAGGGTAGGTGAGTATATAAAACATTTGCAGCACTGTCTTTCAATTTCTAACATTTATTTGCTCTATGAACAGACATCCTGAAAGACATCTATGTTTCATAAAACCTGGTACCTTGCTTCACTGAGTTTTTTCTTAGGATGGGAATCATTACAGCAAGCAGGACTGGCAATTTCAGATAATGACCTGTGTGCAGCACAGGTATTTCTGGAAATGGTTAATGTTGGATGTAATAGATGTTAAAAGTGTCTCCCCCAAATGCTTCTGGCCTTTTGCAGATGACTGCTTTCCATGTGTGTGTGTAGGGCAGAGCATCTCCCAAATTCAGGCTGTCAGCTCATTCCCACAGTGCATCTAGGCAAAGAGTATTATCTCATGTGAACTCGCTGCTGCAAGATGTTTTCTATATTAACTGGTTGGATCATTTTATGTTTTTATGAAATACAAGAGAAAAGAAATCTGGAAACTTTTAATACCATTTACACACAAAAAGCAGAATGTTGTTTTTTCATATGCCACAGACATTTAATCCCTGGGTTTAGAGTTTTTGATCAAAGAGATTACTTGTGCAAGGACATTTTTATCCAAGCTACTGAGTCGTCTTCTTCAGTTTGCAACTGGGTTTGATCTATATCCACACAAGCTTCCCCTGTCTTGAAAGGGCCACCTCCCAGTTATTCAAGAGAACTAGAATAACCAGTGGCTAAAAAGCAAAGACCATTCTTACACAACATTTCTTACAAAAAAGAAAACAAAAAAATCTAAATGGGACCAGAATTTTGGTCATGGAAGTAGGTGGGGTCTGATCCTGAATGCAACTGATGTGACCTTTACTTATTATCATGCAGTTTTTATGTCTTAGCATAAACTAAAATAAGGTTTGTATTCTTGAAATATAAAAAAAACCCAAATCCTGGCTAAGTTAAGGTGTAAGGTACATTCTTATTTCTGTGCAACTGATAAAAATCCATAAAACTTCAACTAAACAATTCAAGAAATCTGATTTTACTTATATTGCTCTAGAGCCAGAGTAGCTATTAAACTGGATCTGTCTACACTTACAGCTGTGTACTGAGGATCCAGGCCTCATTTTCTGTACATTTCCAACTTTCTAAAAGTATTTCTAAAGTGTCAGGGAATCACAAATCTTCCAGAAATTGATATTCATCTCAAACATTTCATACTTCAGTAACTGGAGATTTGTTTGTCACCTTTAAAATGTGGGAAAGTGATCCTTTTCCATGGGGTGAGGATCTTGCATGCTACATTTCAGCCCCTGAATGCCTGTGACCTCAGTGAGGATCTGGGCAGTCGCTGTAATGCAGCACAGCACTGCAGATGAGTCTATACGGGATAAGGAGCAGAGTTGTGGCAAGGAATAGGGATGCGTCCCAAAGCCCGTTGAAGTGAATGGCACTACTGCTGTTGACGGCAGTGGCCTTCGAGTTGAGCTCTTGGCATGTCTGTGAAAGCAAGGTAGAGTCAAATGGTATCACTGTATCACATCTTACGCAGGATAACCACATGCTCATCTTTTTTACTTTCCCTCCCAGGATGGAAGGAGCAGTTTTATTGGCCACCAGCTCGGAGGGGTCATGGAAGTGCCAAACAGCAAGGACCAGAGAGTCAAATCAGCCAGAGCCATCCAAATCACTTACTACCTCCAAACGTATGGCTCTGTCACCCAGGACCTCATTGGGGAGAAGTGGGAGAGTGAATTCTGTAAACTGATGCACAAGATGCAGCTGGATCACCAAGATCTGCAGCTCTACTCGCTAGCGTCCTTTAGCCTCTGGAAGGACTTCCACCAGACCAGTCTCTTGGCCAGGGGCAAGATTTTGGTGAGCCTGATGCTGATTCTCCTGACTGCTACCCTCTCGAGCTCCATGAAGGACTGCCTGCGTAGCAAACCTTTCCTGGGACTCTTGGGAGTACTCACTATCTGTATTTCCAGTGTCACTGCGGCAGGGATATTTTTCATTACTGATGGAAAATATAATTCTACTCTGTTGGGAATCCCTTTCTTCGCTATGGGTAATTATTTATCTTCATAATAATAGGATTAACAGAGCTTAATGACAGGATTGTAAATTACATCCTGGGTTATAAAGTGCAGATTTTACCTTGAGTGAAAGCCTAAGTCATTTTCATCTTGTTAAATTGTTCTGTGCCTTGCCAAAAAAAAAAAAAAAAAAAAAAAAGAAAAAAGGAAACAAAACAAAGCAGTAGCAACACTAAAAAGCAAATGACGTTGCTGGAATCTCGGCCAATATGAGAGAGGGGAAGTCTTATTGATCTCTGTTACAAAACGAAGGAGAAATTGTTATTGAAAACTAGTCAGCTCAGCACACAAAATGGATATGTGTTGACCTGACTTTGCTGGGAGGCCAGCCGGAAGAGTAAGTTGAAATAGGAGGGAAAGATTTTAGCATCGTTCCCGAGGAGGGCTTCTCTTCCAGCTCTGTCTGAGGGGCAGAGGGGAACGAGTTGGTGTAAGAATAAGATTGATGGACTTTATCTCAGAGAGGAGATTACTGTTGTGGTGTTTGCCAGGCTGTAAGCAAAGGAGCCTGTCGGTATCTGTGGCATGTAATCCCTCGGTTTGTGAAGTTCCAGATCAGCTGCAGAGATTTCCTTTGTGTCACATGTGGGCAGGGGAAAGTGCAGTCAAAAAACCAAACATAAACCCCAGTTCTTTTAGCAGAATAATTGGCTTTGTTCCTCCTGTTCTCATTTCTGTTCCAAGCACTTCTAATGCATCTGTGTGGTTAATGAGTTCGTTGGGAAGGTACTTTGGAAAGGAAGAAGGAAACGTGCCCAAAATGTCTTGCTGAGGCAGCATTATTTGATGCAATCTCATCTGAGTTTGCCAGAGTTTTGCCATATCGTGAGTCTGAACCCAGCGATAACTCTTTATACAAAATCTCAGCAGTGGCTGCCCAGACCCAAAAAACTTCATGCTGGCTTTTTGGTAGCCGGAAATCTTACCTCTGGACAGAAATCTGCATCTTTATAGTTAATTTCTTAAATTTTGCTAATTCCTGTAGTACTCAATCCCAGTCCTCTCTTACAGTGATAGATAACTAAATATGCAAACCCACAAGCTAGAGTCAAGGTTTGGAGAAGAGCCTTATATTTTTCTTAAATACCTCAGCCCCCCCCAAATTACAATTTGCAACCATGACACTACCCAAGGGGACTGAGCCATGACCTGACCAGTCCTGCACTCAGCACCTCTGGAGCAGATGGCTCAGGTGGGAAGGAGTGGGATAAAAGGGAACGGTTAAGAGTCCAGAAGGGAAAGGGAAGATTGAGGCAAAAGACCCCAAGAAATTGCATGATTGGTTCAGCCTCGTTAATGCTGATAAACAAAGTTGTGCCAAAGCCTCTAGTTCAATCATCTGCACTGTTAAATTGTGACAATGGCCCCTGGCATGGTCTGACCTGTTCCAGCTCTTCAGCTGCTGTTGCACAGCTCTGCAGTGTAAGAGTTTGCTGGATGTATTGAGGGGAAGAGGACAGCAGGAGGAGCAGAAAACCTGCCAGGTTGTGACAGGGATGGATCCTGACCAGAGTGAGCGGTGTGGGCTTAGGAACAAGAGGCCTGTGTGACATGATGGAGAAAAGGATGACAGTAGGGAAGAGGGGGGCTCATGCTTGTTGTCAGATTACAACAAGCTTTTTGTTGGGTGTCAGGAGGTGTGTATCAAAGAGTGGGGCAACATGTCATTGCCTTGCTTGTGCAGCAAGTTGAAGTAAAGGCAAGAAAACACCAAAGTGATGAAAAGTATCTTCCCTCAATTGTTTATTCTTTGGCTAGTGTCCTTTTTTAGACAGCTGTAGAGAAGGGTGACCTGTCTTTGCTTGGCAGGCCCCAAATTTGTCACTCCCAAGGAGCCCCAAACAACGCCTGTAGGTGAAGCTTATCTTTGAGCTTACCTCAAAATCACCAGCATCCATACAGGACCATCAGCTGAGATGGCAGTAGCATTGTGCTCAATTTATACACACCCTGCAGCCTCAGCAGGAGGAAAGAGTAAGTGGCTCAGTTTCCCATCTAGGATGGTGGTAGTCCAGGAGTTTATTCGCTGTCTGAGGAAAAATAATGTTTATAACTTTCTGTTGTGTTTTGCGCTGTCACTCATGTCACAACCACTGCCAAGAGCAAAAGAAATGGAAAAAAAACCTCCACGTCTCTGAAAGTGAGATATTTGCAAGTATTGCTTCTATAACATGATATTGAATGAACCTCAGGTTGAAAAAGAAAACATTTATGTAACCCTTCTACAGAAATTTCATTCGTAAATCTCAGACTGAACTGGAAATATCATTAGACAACAGCTTGCAAGGTCTGAGAGCTGCTGCTGGTCAATATTGGGCAACAGTTTTATGGTTTGGGGAACTAAAAGACAGGAAACATGTCTTACCAGAGCCATATGGGGTTATATCCTGCAAAATGTCATGTGCTTTTAGTTCCTTAAATGACAGTCCTGGCTAATGACATCTTGCTCCTGTCCATGGCCTCACAGACCTGGGGTCTCACAGGGCAGGTTTTGCTCTCGAGTGACGACCCCAATGGGGTCAATACATCATTGACACCCATGTTGTACCAGTGCTTGTTGCTGCAAGCACAGCAAACAATACATCAAAGAATAATTCTGTGATTATAAATGAGAATGTGTGCAAAGTGGAGTTTCTCAGAATTACAAAAGCCAGATTTACAACTCAGCCTTCCAAAGATACTTAGATTTAAAAAATAAAAGCAAAAAACAGGCAATACAGCCACAAATTGCCTGTAAGTGCAATGCTGTGCAGAATACACAGGGAAATTTAATTCTGGTAGCGCATAACTTTGGAACATTTCAACCTGACATTTGCAAAAATGTCCATTTAAAAGTATATTTGTTTGGTCAAAAATATACAGCTGCTTCTGGCATTCACTTTTCAAAGGATTAATTTTAATGGAAATTCTGTCATGTTCTTCTGCACTTTTCCTTTTTTCTGCAGAGATGGCAGGATGCTGAATTACAGAAGTAATGCTGGACTTGCACAAATGTTTCGGTCCATAATTTCTATTCCTGTGCAGAATTTCTGTGTGTTTCAGTAGGTGATAGAAGCCTATATAGAAGTGAAATTAATGTTTTTTCTAAATCTGGACAGAATGACCTACACATTAATTATTTACTGTAGTCCTGCTGTGAGGGAATGGTCTGCTGGGATAAAGCATATCTCTGGTATGCTGGAGGAAGAGTGTTAGCTCGGATGGCTTTTCTCTTCTTTATCCTTGAAGGTGAGAAACTTAAGACTGAAGTTAGGCATGAGGACAACGGTGGAAAATCTTGCTTGCTCTGACTCCCTTTCCCAATAACATGACCTTCTCAGACAGTTGCCTCAGGAAAACCAGTTTCCCCAGCACAGTGTATTTATAAAAGTACCAGTGTATTTTTGGAGTCAGCGAGGAGGAACTCTTCAGAAAGATCCTTTGCAAATAACGCTCTGTTTACCAAGATCTCCTGCAAATGGGAGAAAGAGGTGATGATTTTGAGCTGTTCATACTGCAGACAAATGGCTAAATGTGGTGATTTACAGGAAAGGTGCTGCTTTAGTTTCAGGTCTTTCTCCTTTAGGAACTGAACTGGACCTAGATGTTTTGTTTGTCTCTTCCTTTTTTTCTTTTTCTTTTTTTTTTAAGTTGGATTCTAGTAGCCACCATGTGAAATCAGAATACAGAACAGTTCTACCTTGCATTTCTCTTCTGGGACAAATACAAAGTGCAGTTTTTTCTGCGAGTTTGACACCAGCAGAGCTATCTCCACCAGATATATTTCAGATCGGAAATAGAGAGCCAAATCCTTGAGTTCCAGATTTGTTCTAGATGCCAGGAAGGGACCTGGTTAGGTGTTCACATCTGCCTTTTGTGTTTGGATTCACCATGCAATTTCAAAGGGATGTTATGTGCGTGACATAATTATGGTTTCCCATGCCTAATCATCACTAATTAATATAACCAGAAGGTTAACTATATAATTGAGACATTATTGCTGCCATGATTTGCTTTTCAATGCATAAGAAACAGACTGATAACATCAGAGAGATAATGATTTAACTCAGCTGAGGATCTGACTGTGTGTTTTTAAATGCAGGTGTATTAATTATGTTATTTTACACTGTAATTATTTTGGGCCAGTTCATGAAGTACTTCATTACAAAGATTAGTGGAAATCTTAAGTTAAAAATGTACCTATGGTGTAATTAGAGTGTAATTATGCTTTGTATATGTTATAACACACTTTACAGTATATGTGTTGCTTAGGAAGCTGGATTCACAGTGGATATAAGAAATATTTCCTGCCCTTTGTAAGTTCAGACCATGAAGACCGTAAGATCTTCATGGCAAAGGCTATGTCTCTTTAGAAAACACTAAGCTCAATGGAGGCCCTACAACACATTGTGTTATTAGTACTAATGTCACCAATATCAATACTGTTAGTAGCAATGTAGTAAAAGAGATACAAACATTTTAGGAAGCAATAGGCTACCTGTTTCTGGTGATAACCCCATGCCTGATATAAGAGTACAAGATGGATGTGAAAGATTATAGTTTCAGTGCAGACTTTTCTGTTAAAATTCCCAGTTATTTCTTCCCCTAAGTTACTCAAATGGAAGGATGAAACAAGGCAAAAGCAGACAAGACTCCAGGCAGTTATTAACATTTCAGACAGAAGCCGTCTAACCCCTTTCAGATGGCAGTTGTTAAAATAATGGCTGGTGATCACCTTTTCAGTAAATTTGAGATGTTACAGTATTACCATTAGTGGTAGAGTTGTGGGAAATTACAAAAAAAAGTCCTAGTGCAGATGAGGAAATAATTTTTTTTCAAACCTCAGAAGACAAATGTGAGTGCTAAAGTGCATGCTATCGCTAGTTTACCTGTACATGAAGTATCACAGTATTTCTAACCTTTGCTTCAAGCAATGGACTTTCTGATAACAGCTGCAACATAGAAATATTTCAAAAGTGACTCTGACTTTGGT